TTTTTTTTTTTTTTTTTTTTTGCACATTAGTGTGCATAAAAATTAGACATCTAAAAAAAAAATACAAATTTTTAATTTCCATAGTATATATGAATTTATTATATGTATATTAAGAACGAATAACACAAAAAAAAAAAAAAAAAAAAAAAAAAAAAAAAACTAAAATAAAATAAAATAAAATAAAATAAATAAATTAATAAATAAATAATAAATTGGAATTACATATTATTTTTACTTTGTTTATTATTTTTATTACTAGCACATCTTCTTCAAATAAAACAATCATATTTTGTATTATTTTTTTTTTTCTTTTATTAAATTATCATTTTTTGCATTTATCTTCTGAATTAATTCAATGTATTGTTATAATTTATTCCGCTAAAAATAAAATAAAATAAAGAATAAAAGCCATTTAAGCACCTATAAGATTTTTTTTTTTTTCATTCATTATTATCGATTCTTTTATTTTTTTTTTATATAAAGTAATATTTTAATTTTTGGAAGATATTAATTATAAATATATTTGTAAAGAATATTTTATAACATAATTTACGATAATATTTTTTTTAATTATTATGAAGAGAATGGTATATATATGAGAAATAAATGGAAAGAAAAAAAAAAATGATACAAATAAAAATGAAAATAATTATAATAAAAGCTTAAGATAACTCCTATTTTTTATTCAATAAATATTAATTATTGTATGAGATAAACAAATTAATAAGGCATTATTGTTATATGTTAAATGTGAAATAAATTCATAAGAAAGCATGAATATTATTAAAGGAACTTAAGATGTTTGAAAAAATGTTGATAACAAAAAAAAAAAAAAATACTTCATAAAAATTACAAGAAGCTTTCATTGTAATATTTGTTCCTCCCGTATACATATTATATTAATATTTTAATAAATTTTTAGCAATTTTAAAGAATTAAATTATTATTTTTAATTTATATTTGTTTAAAATACATATTTATTTTATTTTATTTATTTTTTTTTAAATTAAATATATTTAATAAAAAAAAAATTGTCTTTTTAAAAATAAAAACATTTGTTTTTATTTCTTTTTTTTTTTTTGAATGTTTGTATATATATATATATATATATATATATACATATATAAATATATATTTATATAGACTAAAATATATGCTTATAATGGCATATGAATAATTGAATCAATTTTTATTTTTATAATTCATACAAAAAAAAAAAAATTGAGTAAAATGCCAAGTAAGTATGATGACGGTGAAAGTCGTTTAAATGAATATGAGGTTGTTAAAAAAATTGGCAATGGTAGATTTGGCGAAGTATTCTTAGTAAAACATAAGAGAACACAAGAATTTTTTTGTTGGAAAGCTATTTCTTATAGAGGTTTAAAAGAAAGAGAGAAATCTCAGTTAGTCATTGAAGTAAATGTTATGAGAGAGTTAAAGCATAAAAATATTGTTAGATATATTGATAGATTCCTAAATAAAGCAAATCAAAAGTTATATATATTAATGGAATTTTGTGATGCTGGGGATTTATCTAGAAATATACAAAAATGCTATAAAATGTTTGGGAAAATAGAAGAACATGCAATTATAGATATAACAAGGCAACTATTACATGCTTTAGCATATTGCCATAATTTAAAAGATGGACCTAATGGGGAAAGAGTGCTGCATCGAGACTTAAAGCCTCAAAATATATTTCTATCAACAGGAATAAGACATATAGGAAAAATAACAGCACAGGCAAATAATTTAAGTGGTAGACCTATAGCAAAAATTGGTGATTTTGGTTTAAGCAAAAATATAGGAATAGAAAGCATGGCACATTCGTGCGTTGGGACCCCATATTATTGGTCTCCTGAATTATTATTACATGAAACAAAAAGTTATGATGATAAAAGTGATATGTGGGCCCTTGGTTGTATTATATATGAATTATGTTCAGGTAAAACCCCTTTTCATAAAGCAAATAATTTTGCTCAATTAATATCTGAATTAAAGAAAGGACCTGAATTACCAATAAAAGGAAAATCAAAAGAGTTAAATATATTAATTAAAAATTTATTAAACTTATCTCCAAAAGAAAGACCAAGTGCTTTACAATGTTTGGGATATCAAATCATCAAAAATGTTACTCCATCTGTTATAAACAGAAAAGATTCATCTGCAGAAATATCAAAAATGGATAATTGTAAAACTATAGAGGTAAAACCTTATGTTATTCCTCAAAGCGAGTTAATAAATAAAAGAAACAGTGAACATGAAAGAAGTTCAAGTTGCTTAAGTAGACAAAGTGCTAATCATATAACTAAAGATAATTTGAATTATAATCAAGACATAAATAATCATATTATAATAAATGGACAATATCCTAATAGAGAAAAGAAAAAATTATATGATATAGAAAAAGAACGATTAGTAGAAAAGGAAAAAATGAAAAGAGAATTAATAGAAAGAGAGCAACTTGAGAGAAATAGAATAGAAAAGGAAAGTACTCAAAGAAAAGCTTTAGAAATTAAATTAATGGAAAAAAAGCGTTTGGAGAGAGAAAGATTAGAAAGAATTGAAAGAGAAAAGGCAGAAATAATAGAAAGAGGAAAAATAGAAAGGATAGAAAGAGAAAGAATGGAAAGAGAAAGAGTACAAAAACTTGAAAGAGAAAGAATAGAAAGAGAAAGAATACAAAAAATTGAAAGAGAAAGAATAGAAAGGGAAAGAGTACAAAGACTTGAAAGAGAAAGAATAGAAAAAGAACGGAGGGAAACTTTATTTACAATGGGAATAGATAATAATAATATGGACCTCATAGAAAAAATAAGATTACAATCAAAAAATCAGGAGAGTTATAATTCTTTCTCAAGGATGAAAGAAAAATATGAAAATATGAATAATTTAAAAAATTATATGTATGCTAATATGAAATCAAAAAATTATGATGATGAAAATTTTGATAAATGTGATATGAATACTTTTTTAAAAAAAAACTCCATTAGTACTATTTCCAGCAAAAATATGCAAAATTATAGCAATAATAGTACACAAATTAATAACAATTACAGTGGTGTCGACGGTTATAGTGGTTATAATAATCATAGTACATTGAGTCACTATAGCAGTAACTCTGTAGAAAGTGTGAAATATAAAAATAGTAATAAATATCAAGTAAACACTACAAAGAACACAAGAGATTTGTACAATGAAAATAATGAGTCTACTTATAAAATCCCTAAATATGAAAAAAAATTCAAAGATAATAATAATACATGTAAAAGTAGTAGAATATCAAACATATATTTTAATGATAGTGCTAGGCGAAGTGTTAGTGCTTTACCACATATGAATAATCTTAGTAGACGCAAGTCAAGTATGTATGTATGTAAAGATAATGAATATAATAAAAATAATATACAGGAAAATAGAAATTTTGAAAGTCTTGAAAAAGATAGAGAATATTTACTAGAAAAAAGAAAAATATTATTGGAAAAAGAAAAAGAAATTTATGAAAGAATAAGACAGAACAACAATTATACATACTCTACCATGCAAAGATATGATAGGTATATTCAATTAAATTAGTAAAGTATATTAGTTAATATGGATATTTTTATACTTTATTAGTATTACTATTATTTTTATTATTATTATTTTTTTTTTTTTTAATAGATGTGAAAATATGAGAAATATAAACAAATTAAATGACCAAGAAAGCAGACGTAATAGAAGTATGTCTGTATGCGTAAATGAACAAGAAAAAAGGAATTCATTTAAAATGAAAAATAAATATGGAAATGATGAAAATGAATATATTAGAAATAGAAATATTTACACTTTAAAAAATTTAATACATAATAATGAAGACGATACATACGATAGAAATTTGTATAGTTGCAGATGAAGGAAGAAAAAAATATTATAGTTTTATTTTTTTTTTTTATTTTGTTCCTACTTTTATATAAAACATTTTTATATATTTTTATTTGAACATTATTTTATTATAGTAATTTTTTTTTCTTTATTCTGTCATTTAATTACATAGTATGGCACAAATTTATATATATATACTTTATTATGCTATTGTCATAATTTTTCTTTTTCTTTTTCTTTTTCTTTTTCTTTGTTTTTTTTTTTTTTTTTTTTTTTAGAATGGTGTAAAATATATACATTTTATTTTGGAATAAAATATGGCAAATATATATTTATATATTCTTTTTTTTCATAAATGAAACATATTTATGTTTGTATCTTAGTATAAATATTTTAATTTGAATTTGTTTTGGTACCATTTAACAATTATGTTGTTAATTTTATTAAAAATATTCTTTTTTTTTTTTTTTTTTTTTTTTTTTTTTATTTTTATTATTTTCATGTTTGATTTACCAGAAAAAAAGAAGACCAAAATAAATATTGCATAGTATTTAAATATTTCATAACTTTTTTCTTTTTCTTTTTCTTCTCTTTTTTTTTTTTTTTTTCTTTTTTTTTAAAAATAAAATTTTAAAAATATAAATATATATATATGTGTATTTACTAATTTTGTATATATTTTTGATGCACATAATACTTATAATTTTAAATAATTTTTATTTTTACATTATAACACTTGAAATTATCTTTATTAAAACTACATTTTTTAATTATTTTTTATGTATTTTTTTTTCCCCCATATTTATTTTATTATAAAATTCTTCAGAAAATATATGAGTAATGTTTTTAATAATATATAATAATTTATAACACTTTTTTATTGAAAAACTTTTTTATAAATATATAAAAATAGTATAAAGTAATTATTAATATTTATTTAGAATTTGTTTAATTTTCTTATATTATTTTTATTATTTTTTTTAAATGTAATAGAAAAATTTAACATATTTACATTATATATATATAGATAACAATATTTTTTTTTTTAAATAATTTTTTTTTAGAATTTCGAAGTTTTTTCTTATTTTAAATATACAATAAAGGATGAATATTAAAACTTAATAAAAAATAAATTCATTAAAAAAGGATGTAACAAGCATTATTTCCTATAAAAGCTTATATATTACAAATATTTATCAGATGCTTAGTTTTTAATTATATACCACATGGATAAATTAGAAGTAAAAGTTAAAAATAAAAAATTTTATATTTTTATATTTTTTTCTTTTTTATATTCTTCTATATTAGTGTTTTTGTTTATTTTTACTTTAATTTAAAATATGATTCCTTTTTTATTTAATCATTTTAAGCTTTATGAAATACATAAATGAATGTTTTATAACTATATTAAAAATTTTAGTTAAACATATATATTTATTTCTAATTTACCTGCATAATGCATAAAAAAATATAAATGAATTTTATGAAAAAAAAAATATTTATTGTATATGTTTTTATGTCAACATATATATTTATAAATTTTTATATATAAATTTAACAGAATGCTGGTATTTCAAATTTCATAGTTGGTCAAGAATTAGTAATAGATAAACTATTATTTGAAAAAAAATATCTTAATAATCAAAGAAAAAATAAATTAAAAAATGGTTGTAAACTAAACTATTATTTAAATGAAAAATTTAATATTTTTTTGGGTTATGATAATTTTATGAGAATTGTCTTTAAAAAGAAAAAAATATTGAGAGATGATAAATTGAAAAAAAAAGAAAAAGAATACAATAAACATAGAAAAATAAATGATCCATGTTATAAAGATGATAAAGATAGCAAAGGAAAATCAAATAAAATTAATAATTTAATAGAAAAGGATTTTTTACATAATAATAATATTATAGATAATATTATAGATAATAGTAATAAACAAATTAGTAATGTAAATACACAAGAAAATATCCATTTAATTGAAAAAGATTATGACAAGATAAAAAAGGAGAAAATGAATGAAAAAATTACTGAGAACAAAGAATACAACTATTCTAAAGATATATCAAATCTAAAATACGAGGAAAAATACAATATAACTAATAAAATAGAAAACCCCTTAACTTGTGAAAAATCTCAAATATTAAAAGAAAATTATAACAATAAATTAGAAGTCAATGATAATAATTATATGAACAAACTGGAAGGAAAAGATTATATAGAATATAAGTTACATAACAATAATAATGTTTTGAAAGAAATAACAAATGAAAGAATTCTCTTTCAATCTGATAATATTCAAAAAAGTCTTAACAATAATTATGTAAATAATGTAGACTTAAAAGATGACAATAATGAAATATCTGATGATTTTCAGGAACTATTATCCCTTAGTTCATCATCTAGTTATTCAGATACAAGCGATATATCTAACATTTCTCCTGACTTGTTATGTTTTGAAAAACAGTTTAAATATATATATGATATGTATAAGCAAAATGATAAAAATGTATTTTTGTTTTATAACCCACCTGTGTGCAAATGTATCAACAAAATATTGAAAGAAAAATATTTTCGTAAATTAAATATAAAATATCCATGTCTTTTTAATTGTTCATTTAATAATGATAATAAAGATATAATAAAAATAGAAGGAAATAATGAAGATAATAATAAAAATGAGAATAAACTACTTACATATAGTGAGATATCTTCTGATGCTGTAGAAATTAAATTATATGCAAAAGCATTTTTTGAATTTTATTTTTTTGAAAAATATTTTTATTATTGTATGAATAATAAAAATATGTTAAACTCGTTTGAGAATTTTAATGATAATATCATAAAGGTATATAAAGAAGAAAAACAAGAAAGAGAAATAGATAATGAAATAGAAAAAAAGGATGAATATGAAAAGAACATACATAAAATATATGAAAATGATGAAGAAAATTTAGATCCACAAACAAGCAAAACTAATAGTAATAAAACTGAAATTAAAAGTATATCTAATTTTCCATTTAACACAGAGGAAATGTTGAATTTATATTTTGATAAATGTTTATATAAAATAATTAAAAGAAAATCAAAGATATGTGATAATAATGCATGTTGTGGTTTATTATATATACCATATAGCTACATTGTTGTTATATTGAATAGAAAAGTTGAAAATTTAACTTATGCTTGCAACAATTTAAACATTCCATCAAATACAGATATTTATTATAATAACAAAAAAAATGTAATTACTGTTTGCACAAAAAATTCTGAACACGAATTTTTCTGCTATTATTGTTTAAAACAAAATAGTCATGTTAAAAATATTTTAATTTATGATGTTTATTTTGAAGGTTTTATACCGTTTTTTAAACCAATACTTAATTTAAAAAATAAAAAAAACCAAGAAAAAATTTTCAATTATATAAATTATAATAAGAACATAAATTTATCTATTGTCTTTTTTTTAACTAATTCCACAAAATCAAAAAAAAAAAATCTAAGTGAATGCACAAGTTATTATAAGTCTAAATGTAATTCAAATATTATAAATGAAAAAAAAAAAAAAAAAAAAACTGAAGAAAAAAAAGAAAAAGAAAAAGGAAATGAAAAAGAAAAAACTGAAGAAAAAAAAGGAAAAGAAAAAGAAAATGAAAAAGAAAAAATAGAAGAAAAAAAAAAAATGAAAAAAAAAAGTGATAAAGAAATAATGAAAGAAGATTCTGGTGAAGATTATTATGATGAAGAAACTTTAAAAAAAAAATATGATGAAATAAAAAGTATGAAGTTAAGAATATGTAAAATATATAATATAAATCATCGAAATGAATATAAAAGTGTTAATTCTAAAAAAATATATTCAAATTTAAATAATGAAAATGAAGATGATGACATTGAAAATTATTTCTCCAACATATGTAATGGTAATGAAGTAATTAATAATATGAACATAAAGATGGTTGTTGATAAAATTATAAAAATTATAAACAAAAAAGATAATATTTGTAATGAAAAATGTATATACTACAATTATAATAATTGTACTATGAAAAATAAAGATGTGCAAATATATTTATGTGAATCAATTAATTCATTTGGTTTTGATCGACGTCCTTTATGTGTCAAAAAAAGAGAAGTTATTTTATCATCATATGTTCACTTTCACAAAATTATTAATAATTACTACATATATAAAAATAGTAAATATTTAGATAATATAATTAAGAACGAATTAAATGAGGATGTTTTTAAAAAAGGAATAATGAAAAACCAAATATTAACATTGGATAGTAGTATAGAAAAGTTACAAGATAATTGGTATGAAAATGATTTAAGTAGCATTTTATTTAAAGACAATAACGTTATCTCAAAAAACAATGAAAATGAAAATTTTAACATTACTAATCATAATATTTGTTGTGATAAGAAAGGAATTAACTTGAAATCATTTTCAGAAGAAGAAAAAAATAAAAATAAAAATATAAACACAGATCATGTATTTAATGACACATTTTTCATTTTTAATGATAATTCTGATTTATATACAAATGAAGAATATAAAAAAAATAAATTAGAAAATTTAAATAAAGTTAATGAAAATAATAGAAATAAAAATATACCAAATCCAAATAATTATATATGGGATAAAATATGCACAAATTTTATGCAAAGTTTATTTAATATATATGTTTGTTCTTATTTAATGAAACAAAATAATTATAATTTATCAGAAATAGAAAAAAAAAAAAAAAAAATTTTTAAAGAATTTCCATACGAAAAGAAATTAAGTATTATAAAAAAATATTACTATTATTTATTTGATATTTATAAAAATAGATTTAATATTAATTTAAATAAAAAAGAAGAAGATACAATACATGAAAACAATTGGATAAACGAAGATTCATATTTACTGAATAATATATCAAAAAAGAGAAAAAATGATGAAAATATTATAAATAAAAATTCCTGTGAGAAAGATGAATGTAATAAGAAAATCACTAATAATATTAATAATGAAAATAATGATTCTCATAAAAGTAAGAAAATGAAAAAAGTATAATATACTAACGAAAATTTATATATTCCCTAAATCATTTGGTAACATATGTCCAATAATTTTGTTCGTATTTATAAAAATTACTACAAAAAGAAAAAAAATTTTTTTTTTTGCATATTTAAAATTTTAACTTTTAAAACTTATAAAAATTAAAATGAAACTTTTTAACAATTTATAAAAAATATCTTCTTTTATTTGTTTTTGAAATATATATGTAAACTAATATCTTTTCTTTTTTAATTATAATAAATGCGAATAAATTAAAAATTATAAAAAAAACAATAAGTTTTTTCTTAAATTTATCATAAAATTATAATTAAAACCATTTAAATGCTGATAAAAAAAAAAAAAAAAAAAAGAAACTTTTTTATGGAAATATATAAGGAAATATAGATTAATTTCATTTAAGTTTATAATAATAAAAATATTTTTATTATATGCATTTTTTTTATTATATACATTTATCTTTTTTAATTTATCAAATAATTATTTTATCTATTTTAAAAATTTTTTATTATTTATAAAATAAATTTCATTACGTTATTAAAATTTATATAACTAAAATGTTATATATGAAAAAAAGAATTTTATATTTATTTTCTTCTATTTTTTAAAAATTGCAAAAAAAAAAAGGAAAATACATATTATTATATACGAACAACGATTTTAACTGAAACTAAAAGCACATGTGTATGCAACTAAATAATTTTTATATTTTATAAAAATATTTGTTTTTAATATTTGAATGAAAGTTTAATTAAAATTTTTCTTATTAATTTATACATATTTTTTTTTTTTTTTTTTTCTATATAACCTTTATTTCATTATTCTAAAAAAGAAACAATCTCTAAAGAAAAAAAATGTAATTTTTTATATAATTTTTATAATTTTTAATATTTTATATTTATTTATATTTTTTATGTATTTATTTATTTATTTTTTTTTTTTTTTATGTTAATACATAAAAGTGTAGATTTTTTTTAAAGAAAAAATAATAATTAATAATTTCTTTTAAAAAAAACATAAAGTAAAATGAATTTTTCTTTTTCATGTAAATATATATAAATATTTTTTTTTTTTTATTTTATTTCAAAAATGTGAAAAATCATGTTCCCAGCAGTCCAGATAAAAAAAACGTATAAATTTAATTATGTATTTTTAAAAAAATTTAGATAAAATCTAATATTATTTTATCACATATATATTTTTATTTTATATATATATATATATATATATTTTGTAGAACATTTTTAAGACTTTCGAAAATACTTTCATTATCATCAATTACATCAAGAAGTAAAGCACAAGAATTAATAAAAAACGGAAAAGTTAAGGTTAAAATAAATATATATTTTTCTCTTTTTTTTTAATATTTTTAAATAAATAAAGAAATACAATTTCTTTAATTTGTATGGAATTTTTGTATAGGTGAATAATCAAATAATAAATAAAAATGTCTTAACAGATGTAAATTCAAATATTGAAATAAACGGAATTAAAATAAATGTAGATATAAGAACAAAATTATGGGGTATATATAAACCAAAACATGTATTTTGTAATACGGATAAAAATTATGAATATGAAGAAAAAGAAATTGCTAATAATAATAGGATGCTAAATGACAATAAAATGAACTATCAAAACTATGAGGACAAAAAATATATCAAATATTTAAATGATAATAATAATAGAAAAATATCATTAATTGATAGTAACTGTGATAAAACATTAGTCATTAAAAGTAATTCATCAACTAAAAATGAAACAGAAATTCGAAAAAATTTTGATCGAAATTTTTTAATAGAACCTAATAAAAGAGAATTATTAGTAAGTAATAATATAAGAGTATCAAGCAATTCAAAATTAAATATGAATATTTTTGATTTTATACGAAAAAAAAATATATTGTATGAAAAAAAAAATAAAATAAACAATTTTATACCTGATCATTTAATTATTATAAATAGTCTTGACTCTCATAGTGAAGGATTAGTTTTATTTACGAATGATGGAGATTTTGCAAAAAATTTAAGAAATGTAAATAATAATATATTAACAACATACTTAATAAAAGTACAAGGTGAACTTTCTCAAGAAAAGTTAAAGTTGTTAGAAAAAGGATGCACTATAAGGAATACGCGTATTTCTCCATTAAGTGTAGAAATAATAAAATCAAAATTTATGAGTAAATGGATTAAATTAACATATGTAGAGAAATCTAAAACTGATTTAGATTTTTTATTTTCTAAATATAATCTAGTTATAAGAAAATGCAAAAGATTTTCATTTGGACCTTATAAATCTTCCGATTTATCTGAAGATTTTTTTATGCCACTAAAAGTACATTCAACAATTAATCATTTACTACCTAAATATACATCGAAATTAACTTTAACTGAACCAGATGGAAATAGAATAACAGATTCTAATGAAAAATATATATATGTAAAAAATTATTTACAGAATACACTAATTCAAAACAATTAACAGAAATATATATTGTATATATACAAAAAAGTAGAAATTGTTAAATATAAAATGATTTAAATATACAATTTTTTTTTTTAGAAAATAATATTTTTTTATATTTTATAAACTTTCTTTATTTAAAATATATAGACTACATATATAAAAACTTCGTTAAGAATAAAGCAAAAAATCATTTTTTCTTCCTTTACTTTTTCACCGATATTTTTTTTTTTTTTTTTATCAAATTTTATTTCCTTTTTATTTTCTCTAACTTTTTTATTTTAAAAATAATAACAAAAAATTCATATTATATCTAGAAAATTAAATTATATTTTATTATTTTTTACTAAAATATTCTAATTCCTATTTTATTAGAAATATAAAAACATTTATTAAATTTCTATTATTACATATAATTTAAGGAAATAATAGCCTTAAAAATTAAGTGGAGTTAAAAAAAAATTTAAGGAAATTTATATAATATACAAAGGAAAATTATATATATTTATATATATATATATATCTTTTTTATTTTAAAAAATTATTATACACAAAAAAAAAAAAAAAAAGAAAAAAGAAATAAAAAAAAAAAAAGAAATCGTACAATCTAAAATTTCTTAAAGATAAATATAAGTTTATATATATTATACAGGTGTATATAAAATTAAAAAATACTATTTGAAAAATTTTGTTATTATATTAAGCAATAATACTCCTTTTCATATATTTTTTATTCTTATGCATATTACGAAATTCTATAAGGTTAAATCATGTTTTCATATTTTATATATAATATAAAAAATAAGTACAAAATTTTTTTTAATTATTATATGTATTTCTTTATACTAATATACAGATAATAAAAATTATGAAAAATTTTCTTTGTATTTTTTTTAAAATAAAAGAAAATTTTTTAACAAAATAAGGTGAATCTTCATAAATTTCAAATATGAAAATACCTTAATGTAGTAATGAAACTTTTAATTATACAGGTAGACTTATATTTTTTTTTCAGTAACTAAATTAAAAGCTCATTCTATATTACTCTATTAAATATTCACAAAAAAAAAAATTATTATTATTTTTATATTCATTTTAATATTTTTCTTATTGATCTGTTACTTCATTTGCTTGTTCTCCTGTTTCTTCATTTACTTGTTCTTCATTTCCTTCATTTGTTTGTTCAATGTTTTCTACATTTCCTTCATTTACTTGTTCTACATTTCCTTCATTTGTTTGTTCAATGTTTTCTTCATTTACTTGATGTAAGTTTTCTTCATTTACTTGATCTCTTGTTTCTACATTTTCTCCATTTACTTGTTCTCCTGTTTCATTAACCATTTCTGTTTCTACTTGTGTTTCTCTTATATCAACCTCATTGTTATCTTGAAATTTGCTTGTATAAAAATTAATTTCTTCTATAATATTATCAATATGTCTTAGTAGATTAACTTCTCTTTGTGGTAATGCTTCTTGTAATTCATTTACATCTTCATATATATCTCCTGTATTATTATTAGGTATATTGTTTGCATTCATATTATTTCCTGAATTTTTCAAATTTATATCTAACTTGGTATTTTGTTTAGGGAATATTTTACCTTTAATAAATTTCAAGAAAATTCTAAGTTTGGTAAGTAATAGTTTTACACCAATTTCTACAATTCCCTTTTTCATATCTTCTATATTAATTTGTTCGCTAAAGGTTGGTTCTGGTTCTCCATTTTCTTTTGCTTCTTTTTTTTTGTAAGATGTATATGCATCATATAATGCTTTTAATAAATGTTCCTTTAACTTACTTAAGAAAATAGTTTTTATACTATTCATAATAAATTCATAAGAAGTTAATCTTGTTTTTAATTGATCTAATTGGTTAACGACTGCTTCATCCAAGTTTGATGCAGTAGTTTCTGCAGCTTTACTATCTTTATTTATTAATTTATCTAATAATTCTTTTCCATCTAACATGTTAACTAATTCTTTTGTTACAACATCATCACTAGTAATTACTGATTTTTTTACGGTATCCAATAATTCTTCTCCTCCCTTACCTATAATATCTTGTAAACCATTTTTTACTAAACTTTCTATATTAAAATTACCTAATTCATAATTTTGCATATTAGAAAATTTTTCAATTCCTTCATTAATATCATCTAATTCTTTTTTTAATTTATACAATTCCTGTAATTCTTGAATTTCTTTTTGTCCTTCTGTAGCTAATTCATTTTGAATTAATTCATGGTTCCTTTGAAGATAATCAACATTATTTCTTAAATTCATCAACTGGCTACTCAAATTTGCAATTGTTGCGTTATTATCACGATTAATTAACATGACTGTTTTATTCTCTTGTATACCATCTATTATTTTTCTTAACATATCAATATCTCTTTTTTGAATTTCCACTACATTAATTAATTCTTTTAAGTTATCTGCATTTGTTCTAACGTTTCCTGTAAATTCTTCTGGTTTAATGTTAACTAATAAGTTTCTTAATGCGTCTTTATTTTTTAAAAGTTCTTCACATTCTTCTTTAGTGATTACACAATTTTCTTTTTGGAGATTATTAAATCCACGAAAATTACTATTCTCATTACAGTATTCACATTTAATAAGTTTTAATAATTGTTCATAATTTTTCAAAAGGCATTCCTCACAAGATTTAAGAACTGCATTTTCATATCCTGCATTTGTTAAACTATTATTAATTAAAAAAATAACAAAAGTAAAAAATAAAAAATGTTTAGCCATTGTTAGTAAAAAATAAATTTTTTTAAATTTTTATTCCAAAATTTTTTTTTAAAATATATATATATGCACTAAAAAAATATATGTATTATGTTTTATAAATATAATAGAATAGAAGCATTTAAGTTTAAAATTTCCATAATTTTAAATAAATTACACTTCAAAAAAAAAAGTAACTTGAAAAAAAAATAATAAAAAATGAAAAATTTATAAGTTTAATACAACATATATTATTTAATTTTTTTTTTTTTTTTTTTTTTCTTCTATTACAGTTGTAAATATGTTTAGAAAAATTCAAATTAATTAATCAATACAATTTATTACTTAAAAAGTGCATGCAAGGAAAATATGTGTATACTTTATATATATATATATATATATAAATAAAATATTTACTTTTTTAAATAAAAATTTATATTTATGTATTTTTAAAGAAATATTTGTGTTGTATTTTTTAAATTAACAACAAAAAAAAAAAAAAAAAAAAAAAAAAAAAATAAAAAAAAATATAACTCTTAATAATTAATACAAATATGTGTACAACTAAAAATATATTTTTATAAATTTAATATAATTTTAAAAAAAAAATAAGTTGTAAAAAAAAAATTTTAACAAAAAATAAAATGTGCGTTATTTTATTCATATAAAACCGTTTTAAAATATTTTAACTTTCTAATAGTGTTGTAACAAGAAAAATTCAATTTCCACATAAGAATTAGCTGTCTTTTTATTTTCTTTTGTTGAATCTTTTAATTAATATACGGTTGCTATTTTTTATTTATTTTAATCTAACACGAAAATTTATATATTATCAAAAAATAATTTTAAAAAAACTACAATCAAATGTTAATGCACCCCAAAAAAAAATTATCATTTTTTTTTTTTTTTCTAAATATAAACCATTATTAATAAAAATATATTATCAGCATAAAACATTATTAATACAAAAAACTAACGGTGTAAAATCTTATTTGCAGAAATTATCATCGATTAAAATTATTATATATAAAAAAGAAGTATTATAAATTAAAATTTTATTAATGCAAAAAAAAAAAAAAAAAAAAAAATAATAAATAACTTAAAATATAGGTGTAAAAAGAAAAAAAAAGAAAAAATAATACTTTTAGTTTTTTTATTTTTTTTTTCTCTTTTATACAATGAGAATAAAGTACTATTGTTTATGCACCTAGAATAATTGTTAATTTTTTTTTTTTTATATTTTTTTTTTTCTCTTATCACCTAAGTGTAATTAATATATGCTTATTTTTATATAATATAATAACTCAAAAAAAATTAAAAATATTAAAAAAAAGATATCGACCTTGATTAAATACTAAGACCACAGAAAAAAACTTTCTTTCCTTTTTTTATTGCCCACTAAAATTTATATGCCAAAAAAAAAAAAAAAATATAATATTTTCTTTATAAAAAAGTATTTTTCCTTTATCTTTACTGTCTACTAATATTTTATATTAAATTATCCTTTCCTTTTTTTATTTTTTAATAAATTATTTCTCTTTTATCCTATTTTTACAAAAATATTCCCATTCCATCTTTTTCTTGTCCACTAATGACTACTTATTAAAATGGTCAATATATAAATTTATATTAAAATTATCAAGATTAAAAAAAAAATGATAAAAGTAAAAATAGAAATATAACTAGGAATTCTTCTTTTTCTTTTTTTACCATATTTATATGAGGAAGTGATGTGTTTATTATTTAGAATTATTTAATGAAGAAAATTATTATCAGGTAAAATAAAGGCTTATATATGTAGTAATATAATTTTTTATTTATTGTTAATATATTATTTATAAAAAATAACAAAAATATATTACATATATATATGTGTTGCCAATTTTTGAGGCCTCTTTTTTTAATCCATTTGTTTATGCTCTTTGTCTAAATTATATATGTCTACTTTATTGTCAAAATGTTTGCTTTTTTTGAAATATAAAAATTAATAGAAAAAAAAAAAATAAGTACTTATTGTAGAATTTTAATTTTTCTTTTGTTAATATTATGCATAAAAACTTATAAAAATTGTTAGATTAAAAAAAGACTATATTCATTGTTTTTTTTTTTTTTTTTTTTAAATATACTTTTAAATAAAACATAAATATGATTTACTTTTTTTTCTCTTTTTTATTAGAAAAAATAAAAACAAAAGAAAGATTGTATAATATATGTATACCATTAATTACACTACCTATTAATTTGATTTTAATAAAAATTAAAGCTGTCTAAATTTTATATTATTTAAAAAAAAAAATACTAATTTAAATTTAATAACATCAATGAAATAACAGAATATTAGTAACGATGACTTCCAAGACAATTTTAATATAAATTTTAAAAAAAACTTGATAATTTACTAAAATAAGTGGAAGAACTTTACTTTCAGAACTCAACAATGTAGAGAAAAAAAAAAAAAAGTGTTCTTAAAAAGTGTATGAGTAAAAATAATAAAAATAAAATTTTTAATAAAATAAAATGCTTTATCAAAAAAAAAAAAAAAAATTGAACTGAGTTAAAAACAAGTAATAAAAATAAACATTATCTATTTAATAAAACATATCATTAATTAAATAAATGAAAAATATAGCACTAAAATATAAAAAATTTTAAATTAATAAAGAATTTTTATTAAATTTTAAAATTAGCAAATCAACATAAAATGGGCAATATCAAAATACATATTGTTAAATAAAAGAATACATAAAAAAGTTATATTTAATAGTATCTTACTAAATGGACCTAAAAAAAAATATTTGTAGGTACATTTGTTTTGTAAAAGAATAAGAAAGGATATCTTTTAAATAGAAAATAGTGTAAATGAATATAAAACATTAGATTAAAATATAAAATGATAAAATTCTTTTTTATTACATGGATACTATCATCATTTGACAAAAAATAATTAGAAATGGAGTTTTTGTTAGAATAGAAAAATAATACATTCAAAAATAATGGAAATGATTTAATAGATGAGCATAAATATTATTTAATGAATAATCAAAAGAAAAAAGTTTCAAAGAAAAATTAGGGTTTTTAATATATTTGTTCTATACCTTATATACAATTAATTAAAATTAAGAATCTTACATATTTACATTTGAATAAATATCATTACTTGAAATTTGGAACACATATTTTACCTAAATTATATACTTAAATATATAAAATTTTTATGGTTATATTATTTTAAGTAATATATAAAGAAGGTATGTTCCAAAAAAAAAAAGTTACAATTTTTTTTTAATGTAAATTTTTTATTTGTTTTTAGGTAAAAATAATATTAATGTATTTCTTTTTTCTTTTTTTCTATTTTAATTTAATGAATTTTATAAAAAAAAGTCAACTTTATATTGATGTTTCTTTAAATAATTAAATATAATGAAAATAACGAAAACAGAGTTATTTTTAAATTGAAATTAAAAAAGATTTATTTAAATTCATTAAATAGTAAGAAAATACTAACATCTTATTTTTATAATTAGAAAGATATATTATAACTTTTGAATTTTTCTTGTAATTTCAAATAATTTTTATTTTTTTTTTTATATATTTCTTCTAGATTTAATTTATAGTTTTTCTTTCTACAATTCAAAATTTTTTAAAATGTTTTTTTTAATTCTTTTTTTTATAAACCATACTTAGCAATTCCTCATGTTATTTATATCAAGTATTTTTTTTAAGTACCTAATATATTTTTTTTTTTTTTTTTTTTTTTTTTAAAATAAGCAAAATATTTTTTTTATAAATGTCTTTTTTTTTTTTTTTTTTAAAAATATTTTACGTATATTTTATTAATATTTAAAAAATTTAAAATTTAATTTAAATAAAATTATAAGATAAATTGATATTGAAAAATAAAGAAAGAATTAAAAAAAAAAAAAAAATGAAATAGAATAAAACAAAACATAAAAGGTGTAAAAAGAAATATAATAATTTATATATATAGGATATATTGCAGATTTCAAAATGAACAAAACTTAAAAAAATAAAAAATATAAATTTTTTTTTTTTTTTTTTNTTTATATCAAGTATTTTTTTTAAGTACCTAATATATTTTTTTTTTTTTTTTTTTTTTTTTTTTTTTTTTTTTTAAAATAAGCAAAATATTTTTTTTATAAATGTCTTTTTTTTTTTTTTTTTTAAAAATATTTTACGTATATTTTATTAATATTTAAAAAATTTAAAATTTAATTTAAATAAAATTATAAGATAAATTGATATTGAAAAATAAAGAAAGAATTAAAAAAAAAAAAAAAATGAAATAGAATAAAACAAAACATAAAAGGTGTAAAAAGAAATATAATAATTTATATATATAGGATATATTGCAGATTTCAAAATGAACAAAACTTAAAAAAATAAAAAATATAAATTTTTTTTTTTTTTTTTTGTAATTAATAGTTAAAATGTGAATGAATATGCAAAAAATTTATATATGTCTTCTTTTAATAGTATTCATAAAAAAATGGGAAGTTTTCAATTCAGTAAATATAAAAAAAGTGGAGTATTATTATTTATTTGGTTCTTTGAATAAAACTAAAAACAAATATTCATTAAGAAAAAAGGAAAATTTATTTTTTTTTTTTAATAAAAACCAGAATAATAATTACAATAATAATAATTATAACAGTATTAATAAGGATAATCATATTTTTTCAAAAATAAAAAAAAAATTAAACTTAAATAAGAAAAAAATATTATCACTTAAAAGCATTAATTTAAGTAGTAAGTTAAAAAAAAATAATCAACTGAAAAAAAAAAAAAATGCACACTTTTCTTTTATTTGGAATAATATAGCTAGTTATATAAAAAATAAAGATGACCAAAAAAAAAAAAAATGTTTTCTTTACAATAATGAAGAACCACAGCTAGATCCTGAATTGTATGAAAGCTTAGGGGGTTGCTTAGAAAATGATATGAAAAATAATTATTTTGATACTTTAATAGATTGTAGTGAGGATGATTATAATTATGATGAAGAAGAATTTGATACTGATGATTTAAGTGAAGAAACAAAAAGGAAAAAATATTATACATATGGTAGACCATTTAACGATAAAGATTTTAATTCTGAATATGTTCAGAAATATTATCAACATTTGCCTAAATATTTTGAAAATGATAATATATGTTCCAATAAAAATTTTAAAAAAGTTTATGAATCAAATAAAATTGAAAATTTGGAGAGAAATATAAGAGAGGAAGATTTATATTATCCATCTGTTCCAATAAATTGGAAAACATATGTTTGTCTATTTTTTGATAAAAAATATAACTATGAAAATAGTAGTGATAAAAAAATTTATGATAAATTTAATAGAAATATACGCCATAAATTTGTTATGGAGTTTTTATCATGGGTAAAATTGTCTACAAGAATATATCAGAACACGTCGAAAATGTTGATGTTATTCAACTTAAAAAGAAACAACAATATATATGGGAATTTGTTCTTTTTCACTTCATTAAATTTACATTATGCTCATTTGTTTATGAAATCTAATCCATACGTTAAATTAGGTTTATGCGAAGAATTATATTTATATTCATATGAAGGAAATAATGACCATTTTCTCATAGGTAATTTTCCTAACTTATTTATAGAAACAAATTATTTACTGATCAAATTTTTTAGACCAAACAAATTAAAAGATATTAATGATTTGTATGAAAAACATATGAGATTTTATATTACTTCTAACATGATTTTTAAATTAGGTGTGTTAAAAAAAGTTCGTAAGGATAATTTAAAGGATTTATTTTTAACACCATATCAATATTTACCAATCACTGAAGAACAAACAAAAAAAATTTTAAATAAATTTGATAATGAATTTAAAATTTTTGAAAAGTGTAACAGTATTGAAATAAATAAAAATTATGAAATAGAAAAAGTAGAGTATGATAATAACGAAGAAGTAAAAGATAATAAACATAAAAAAAAGAAGAAATATAAAAAGAGTGAATTAAATAAAAATGAAGAAAACGAAGATACAAATGATAGATATGCAGAAAGGAATTACAAAAAATATACTAAAAATTGCTTGGCTGAACTAAGTATAATAAATTGCAAAAGTAAAGAAGATGCAATAGAATTTCTTGAAAAGGATCCTTATACAAGATGTTGTTTTTATGATAGTATATTTTTTTCTGAAGTAGCTGAAGTTTCTCCTCATGTACAATATTCAGAAGGTTATATGCCTAAAATTCATTCAAAACTAAATTATAAATATGAATTGGATACTAATTTGAATCCATCGGAATGTTTACAAGATAGACCAGAATTTTTAGAAAATAAAAGTTTAAAAGAAAAAAAATTAAAATCGTTTGAGAAAGTAGATTTTGATTTAATAGATACATTTATAAAAATGAAATATACTAACAAGGAAGTTGAGTATGAAAATTATGATATAAAGGAAAATGATATCGGAATAGAAGCAAATATAAAAAATGAAAAGGATATAAAAATAAAAAAAAAAGACGATTTTTTGCAAAAAAATCAAGAAAATAATGATGAAATTTTCAATGAGAAATATCAAAGAGAGTCTCAAAATAATTCTATTATAAATAAAGAATATAAAAAAATTAATGAAGCTTCAAATTTTTTAGAAAATAATATGGTTAAAAAAAAATACAAAAAATATAAAGTAAAAATAGTTGATTATAATAATGATTATATTGATTATATATGCAACGTTCAAAGAAACAAAATATTATATGTAAAGAAGAAAAAAAAAGATAATTCAATAGATAAAGAATCGAAAAATGAACAAAGTAGTAATTCCATTTTCAACATATTTGACATTTTATCCAAAGATATGAGAAACCCTAATATAAATAAAGAGAAAGATATAATATTAATTGATAATACATTGCAATTTTTTGATCATATTTTTTTTAAAGATTATTTAGCAGATTTTGTATATATTTCTTTACCACCTGGTGAATATATAGAAGATCCATATTCAATTAAAGATGAAAAGAATTATGATTTTACTATTTTTAATAATTCTCTAGCTACAGAGGACGATTTCCTAAAAAGAAGAAATTTTCAACCAAGATTTTTAAAAGGAATATGGTTAAAAAAAAAACATTCAAAAATATTATTTTATGACAAACAAAACAATGCCTTATTATTTGGAACAGGAATTGATAAAACCTTCTCATGGAACAAAAAAGTAGACGACAAAATCATGAAAAGAGCATTATTAAATATGGAAATAGCTTATGAAAAAATAAGAAAAGGAAGTTCAATGTTACAAAATGAAGTGACTATTCATCAAGAAAGTGATAGAACAATAAAAGAATATACAGATGAATATACATCTTTTCAAAATAGATTTACATCTGTTCACAATCATTTAAATTCTTCTGAGGGTTACAAAGATTTAAAACCTCCACCAGGTTTTTAGAAATATTTTAAAAAATGTTCCTTATTTGTTCATAATAATTTATATGTTTTAAATAAGCATAGTTATTCATCATGAATTATTAATATTATATGTATGCATATTTTACATGTTTTTAGTCATTTTTATTCATTTTTTTTAATTATAATTTTTATTAATACTTTAGGTCTTGAATATTTAAATCCACACATATGGGAAAAGACTTCTGATGAGCACAAAAAGTTAATTTTGGATACAGATAAAGTACAAAAGATTCATTCTAATTTTTTAAAAAAGGTTGAATTATATAAAGCCTCAATAGATGACGATCCTTTTGTACAAAAAGTACCATCAGAAAATGATATTTTAAGTTATTCAGATAAAGTAGATATTGAAATTATATAAAATATAATATTTTGTCAAGAATTTTTACTATTAATTTTTTTTCTTTGTTTTTTTTTTTTTTTTATAAATTATTAACAAAACTTCATATTTGTGAAAAAATTTATACTTAAGAAAATATAAAAAAAAATTTAAAAAAAAAAAAAAAAAAAAAAAAACTATATTAAAAAAGAGTGCACTTTTTAAAAGTGAAATAAAGTCAAATTATTATTTTTTTAATTAATATGTAAAATATATTAAGACGCTATATTACGAAAATTATTTTGAAAGATTTTTTGTATCTGAAAAATATAATTCTGAATTTCTTTGAGAAATGTTAAAAAAGTTTGACATTTTTGATTATTTTGATTATTATGTAAACTATTATATATAGGAATTAAAAAATTATAATAAAGGAACAGCGTTAAAAAAAAAAAGTGTAAATTCATGCATAATAGTGAATTGGTATCTACCCAATATGGTTCATTTATATATTCATAATAAACATAAAAATCTGAAAAATATTTTTGTGAATGTTGTAAAGTTGTTTGCATGAAATATAAAAAGTTTTGTTGAAGTCTCGATACATCTAGATATTCCATTAGAAGTTTAAAATAAATATGCAGATAATTTAAAAAATTGTTTTTATTCATTATTAATATACTATACTTCATCTGTACCTCCAAATATTTTATTGTCTTCAAATAAATATTTTCATTACAATCTTTATACGTGTTATTTTTCTGAAATTTATCTGAAAGACTTATATAACCAAAATTATTTCTAACAAATTGGCCAAAAATAAAAGAAGAATTTATTCCTTCTACACTATTTAAATTATTATTCTTACTTATTTTAAGGTTATTATTCAAATTTTTTTTTTTTTTTTTGGTCTTTTCTTTTAAAACATTGCTTTTATTTTTTTTAGAAATAGCTTGATTCTCCACTACTTTGGATGAAAATTTATTAAATTTTTTGTCATAATATTTAGTGGTTTTATCTATATTATTTGTCTCATTTTTTTTTTTTTTTTTTTTTTTTTTTTTGTCATCCATATATATTTTTTCATGTTTTAATATTTTTTTTAAATTAAAATTGTATATATTAAAAAGGCTCTTGTATGAAAATAAGTTTTTCATTCCTTTTTTTTGAATTTTTTGTAAATTGTCAAACACAATTATGTTTTTGTTATTATTGGTTTCCTTGTATGCATTTCTGTTTAATATTATTTGTTTTTCATCATTTTTTTTTGTAAGATCTTTTTTTTCATAATTCCTTATATCCACATTTTCATAATTATCTTCTATCTCTATATCACAACATAGAGACTTACTATAATACATATTATCTAAACGAGAAATTAACGTTATCCCATTATTTTCAAATATGTTTTCATTTAAATCATAGAAATTTTTATAATTCTCTCCTACCATTAAATTTCTTCTCAAAAAAAATATCATACCATTTTTTAAGTATATATAAATACACATATAGCTATAAAAAAAATTGTTTTTTCTATAAATGAAATCATATAATAAATCATTTCCATGTATATTACAAGCAAATATATCATCAAAGTAATTTCTTTTTCTATTTTGTGAATTTTTTTTTTTTGTCGTTTTTATTGGCTCATTAGAATTGCTAGGAAGACGTCTTAATATATTCGAACCACTACCAAGAGGAAATTTTAAAGAACTTTCTCTTTTAATATTTTTATCATTTTTTAAATATATTCCATTTCCCAAATTTATATCCTTCATACTTAATTCATTTTTTATATCTATTTCATTTTTTGAAATTATATCATTTTCATTATCCTCACTTATATTTTCATAAAAAGTTATATTTTTAATTAATTTCTTTATATCTTTTTCTTTTTGCTTTTCTTCCTCATTCTCTTTTTTTTGATGTTTTAAATACTTACCTTTTTTTGTATGAATCATTTGTTCTTTCATTTCTTTTTTTCTTTGAATAATAATTTGCTTTTCATAATTTTTTAAATATTTTTTTTTTTTTTTTTTCGAATAAGGATCATTTTCTAACTTTTCAATGATATTCATACTTATACTTTCAACGTTTGTTTTCAACTTAGATACATCGAAACAATATAATAATGTAACATCACAATAATTTAGAAGTTGATATATATAGTACATTTTATTATTATGAATATAGAAAAAGGAATAAATATTATTATCAATATAAAAATTTTTTATTACATATAATTCAGATAGGTTATTCAAAGGTAATACATAATCATATATCAATAATTTACTTTCCATATTAAAAATGTTTAACAAATAGTAATTATATTTATGACTTATAATAAAAATGTAATTATCATATATTAGATGTTTAATCCTTTTACCTGATATTTCATCTTCCCAAAGCAAATAGAAAAAGTTTTTTTTAATTAAGCTATCTTTATACATACAACAAATTTTACAATTTTCACTTCTGTTATCAAAAAAAAATATTTTATTCATATATTTTTCAAAATATACATTTTCTATAGTATTATTACTTTTTGTTATTTTATTTTTTATTTTTGTACTATTATTATTATACAAATTGTTATATTTACTAATTTTCTTTAAAATTTTTTTTTTCTTATTTTTTTCTATTGTTCTTAATTTATTGTTTTTTTTTTTATATTTTTCATTAATTTCCTTCATGTTTTCCATGTTTTCTTTTTTTATTTTATGCATAATTTTTCCTTCTTCTTTTTCCTTTTCTTCGTATTCTTCTTCTTTCTCTTTTTCCCCATAATCTATTTCTAATTCATCTTCTTTTTCTTCATATTTTTTTCTTTCTTCTCTCTTCTCATTTTCTACTTCCATATCATCATTTTTTACATCTACATCATTTTCTCTATATATATGACAATCTACTTTTTCATCTTCTATTTCTACATTTTGTTCTATGCATTTTTTTTTTTCTTCTTCCTTTTCTTCTATCCTATTCTTTTCTTCATCATTTTTTTCATCTTCATTTGCTTTGTGTTCCTCTGAAATATTTGTTAATTTTTTTTCTGAATATGTATTTGAATAGGAACTTTCAACTTTTCCTTTTTTATAAGAATTTCTTTTTTTAGTATTTTCATTTAAATCATAAACACTGCAAAGCAATCTTTTATTTTGTTTCTTTTTCTTATTTTTACTTTTTATAGAACTATCATCTCCTTTATCCTTTATATATTCGTTTTCATTTAGTTCTTTACATATATTTGAGACATTATATTCATTTTCTAATTTAAGATTTTTATTAAATTTCTTATTTTTTAAATATCTCACATTTTCATCTAGAATTTCACTTTCATCATTTTTTTTTACATCATTCATTTGTGATAATTCTAAAACTTTTGCATCATTTAAAGAAAGGAAATCATTATTTTTATTCTTCTTTTTATTTTCTTCATCTCCATTTTTCTTTTTGGATTCTTTCTTTTTATGAACAGCTGATTCAAATTGTTCACTATTTTTTTTAGATATATTTTTGACAATCTGCATTAATTCATGGTTTTTATTTTCAAAAGGATCACACAGTTCCATGTGAGGATTAAAATTTTCCCATTCTAAATCAGAATTATTAGGATTTTTATCCTTCTTTGTATTTTTTTTTGACTTTTTATTTGTGTCTTTTTTTATATCGTTTTCTATATCTTTTTTGGTATTTTTTTTTGTATCTTTTTTTGATTCTCTTTTTGATTCTTTTTTTTTTGTTTCTTTTTTTTCATTAGAATTTAATTTTTTATTTGTTTTTTTTTTTGTATTACTTCCATTGTTATTTTCTAAGTTCTCATCTATATTGTATTCACTATGTTCACCTATCTTATTAATATCACTATTATTTCTTTTTTCAATTTCTTCTAAGTTACACATTTCATTATTTATTATCGGTATTGTAGCATTACAATTTTCTATATAATTTTCTTTATTATAATTATTTCTTATTATATCTAATATTTTTACATTAATATTTTTATTTGTATATTCATAAAAATCATCATGATTTAGATGATTCATGGAATTATAATCATTATTATCATCACTATTTCTGTAACATGATTGCTTACTACTACTGCAATTATCTTCAGTGGCATTATGAATATTTTCTATGCTTAAAGAATTATTAAAATCAGTTTTACCTTTCATACTTTTAATTCCTTTTGAATTTTTATTATTTTTCTTATTTTTATAAACTTTTTTATTTTTACTATCATTATTGTTATTGGTATTTATGTTAGCAATATTATTATTATTGTTATTTTTATTTTCTTCATTACTATTGTTGTTATTATCATCATCATTATTGTTATCATTATCATTATTATCATCCTCATTATCATTATTATTTTTATTTTCATCATTATTATTATTGTTATAATCATCCTCATTATCATTATTATTTTTATTTTCATCATTATTATTATTGTTATAATCATCATCATTATCATTATTATTTTTATTTTCGTCATTATTATTATTGTTATTATCATCATCATTGCTATTGTCATTATTGTTATCATTATTATTATTATTATTTTTATTATTATCATTATTATTATTATTTTTGTTGTTATTATTTTTATTTTCGTCATTACTACTATTGTTATTATCATCATCATTGCTATTGTTATCTTTATCATTATTATCATCCTCATTATCATTAATATTTTTATTTTCATCATTATTATTATTGTTATCATCATCATTACTATTATCGTTATTATCATCATCATCATCATTATTATTATTATTATTATTATTATTATTATTATTATTATTATTATTATTATTATTATTATTATTATTATTGTTATTATCTTCAATATTATTATTATTATTATTGTTATTATCTTCAATATTATTATTATTACTTTTGTTATTTTCGTCATTACTATTATTGTTATTATCATTACTACATTGAATAATATAATTGTTATTATTACAATAATAGTCATATTTTTTATTATTATGTATATTAAAATTTATAATACTTTTTAATTCCTTATATTTTTGGCAAAAAATTTGAAATTTTTTTATAATTGCATTAATAACTTTAAAAATAAAACATATAAAGATATTTATAAAAGAAGGAAAAGTAAATAAACTATTATTTGAATTATTTTGTTCTTTTTTTTTTAAATAAGAAAATGAGAATGGATATATATTATTATATTGATAAATTCTACAATTTAAAATATGTATAATTTCATGAGAACTTGTATTTTCTATTATATTACCAAATTCATCATATAAGTATTTTATTTTAGGGGTTATTCTATTTTTTACTTTTTTTTCTATAACCTTATCTTTTATCTGCTTATTTTTAGTAATTTTCAATTCCGTCTCCTTTTCTTCTTTGTTAGTTTTTTTTTCAATTTCATTAATTTCTAAACAAATATTAGGATAGAAAGGTTTCAAATTTAATTTAAGAGTATTTATTTGTATAATATAAACAGATCCATTGGATGCTCCAATAACTAATTGATCAAAATTTTCTGACCAACTTACATCTACAGCACATGTTTGTTCTTCTAACAAATTTTGAATGATCAAAAAACATTTTGCATATTTATTTATTTTTTTTTTCTTTTTTGCTAATAATTTTTTATTATCTAATGAAACGTTTAAATTTTTTTTTTTTTCTTCATTTGAAGTTGATTTTTTTATTCTTTTTAAAAATATTTTCCACAAAGAAATTATACCATTGTCACTGCATTGACAATATAAACTATATAATTTTTTTTTTTTTACATCTACAAATACCTTATGTCCTATTTTTGCTACTCTTATACAACTGTCATGACCATCTAAGAATATTCTATTTTTATTTATTCTTTCATTATTATCAATTTTTAATAATATTCCACAATTTCTTCCATTACTAGGGATATGAGTAATACTTGCATATTTCCCAAAACTATCAAAGTAAATATGGCGAATAGTTGGAGTATCAATATTTTTATATTTCTTGTTCATATTTTCTTCGTAAATATATTCAAAATATTCACGTGAAATACTATGAGAATTTGGAGAATTGTTTGGAATTGCATATTCACATTTATGGGAAATGTTTTCTCTTTGATCATAATTTTTTTTATTATGTGACAAGCATATATTACTTTTGTCCTGATATATATTTACCTTTTTCCATAAACACATAATATTATCACTACTTTGAGCTATAATCGAGTTATTTGTTGGATGAAACGAAACACCTTTTATGTTTTCTGTTGTTCCTTTAACAAAAAGTTTATGGGAAATATAGGAATTTTTCAAGTTAAAAATATATACTACCCCTTTTGAAACACCACAAACAACATGTTCATTATCGTGTGACCAGGCAAGGTCAAAAATTTCTCCACTTTCATGTATTTTTATGCACCTAGTTATTTTCCATTCTTCTTTATTACATGTTGATGTGTGAAAAGAGTTATTGGATTTATTATATCCATCTTTTATATTATTTTTTATTTCTTCTGTATTTTTCTTAATGTTACTTTTATCTTTATCTAGTTCATAACATACTATAGTCCCTCCACTATCACAGCTAGCCAAATATTGGCCATTAAAACTCCACCTAATTGTGTTAATATAAACTAGCTTATGATCATTACTAATAAATAATAATTCAATATTTATTTTATTTTTTGTTGTTGTGTCATATGGTGGTATATGATAAATCTTAATTTGATGTAAACTTGAAATAGCTAATCTATTTAATTTGTTATATGGCTGAAAATCTAAACTAGTAATTTTTTCATTTTCTGAGTTTAAATTTAATTTCTCAATATACATTTTGAGTATTTAAAAAAATGGGTAAAATATATATATCTACTAAAATTATCATAAAAAATTTACAAAAAAAAAAAAAAAAAAAAAAAAAGGGATATTTATTTAAAAGGCAAACAACAAAAAATATATGCATATATATTTATTTATTTATTCATAAATAAAAACAGAAATGAAAAATTAAAAGTGAAAAATCAAAAATATACTTTTAGAAGCTAAAAAAAAAAAAATGTGTTTTTATTTAATACATTAACGAAAATTTTTGATATAATAAAAAAATGTTTATCTTTTATCTTTTATCTTTTTTCATTTTTTTTTTTTTTTTTTTTTTTTTTTTTTTTTTTTTTTTTTTTGTATAAAAAATTAAGAATCAAAATAATTTAATAATATTGCATTTTTAATTTACACTTTCAGATTACTATATTTATAAATGCTAATTTGATGTATTCTTCAAACAATTATATATTCTCAATAATCAAAAATGTTTAAGAATATTATTTCTCATTTCTGAGAATAATTATCTTCCCTATTATCTGCATTTTCTTCATTAAGAAGCATATATAGATCTCGGATATTTAATTTTATATTTTCTAATAAATTCTTTTTAATCCTTTTATAATTTTTTTAGTGGTTGCACATTTACAAATATTTTTTTTTTTTTCTTTTTTTTTTTAACAATGATATTATCAATTCCTTTTTTTTTCATATTTTATCATTAATTGTATAGTTATAATTATTTTTTAAAATACAAAAGGATTTAGTTCTTAAATAATAAAAAAAAAAATTATGAATTATTAAAGATACTTTTATAAATTAAAAAAAAAGAAAAAAAAAAAAAAAAACAAACTTACATAAATACTATTTTATAACATTAATAGTTAAAAACAAATTTTTAAATATTGTCTTTACATAAATCTTCATTTTTTTTGGAATGTTTTTTCTTTTCTTTTTTTAAAAAAATTTTTAAACTTTTAGATCTATCAAAAAAAAAAAAAAAGAAAAAAATTAAATAGATAAATAAATGAACAGCATATAATTGTATATAAATATAAGTATAAATACAATAAAAGTAAAATAGAAAAAAAATTTTTATAAAATTTTAAAATTAAGAAAATACAATATGAAACAATATTATGAGAATATACAAACACATAAATAACATTTCATAATATTTTACATTACCCTTTTTCTGATGAGTGAGATTCTATTGTTTTACTCTTCAAACCATGTATGTTTGAATTTTTTTTCTAAAAAAAAATGGGAAATATGAACCATAAAAAATAAGTTTTAATATAATTTAAAAAAAATAATAATAAAAATATGAAATGTTAATTACATGCGTTTGTGGTCGCATATATTTTTGAAGTTCATTATTCAAGAATTTGTTTCTATTTTTTGTTCTGAATTGATCATCCTTTTTTAACTCTGGAAATTTTACATTTTTACAAATATAAAATGAATTTTCCTAAGTGTAAAAAAAAAAAAATATATATATATATATATATAAATAATATTTCTTTTTATTTTAACCATGAATTTTTTTTTTTTTTTTTCTTATTATTTCTTATAATGATGCTAACTTTTAATTCTTTTTGGTCATCCTCAATAAGGTTTCTCTTTTCCTCTTTAATATCACTTAATATAACTGTTCCTAATTCTTAAAAAAAAAAAAAAAAAAAAAAAAAAATTTAATATTCTTATTTACTTTAAAGTGAATATTTCTTTAATTATAATTTACCTTTTTTCTCGTCATTTAATTTTCTTCTTATATTGTATGTATGCTTATAATTTTGATTTGATTCTTCTTTTTCTATATTACAAAAAAAGTTACAAATGGAATAATTGTAATAATAATATTATATTATTGATAAATGAATACATCTATATAAAATTTTTCTTTAATACCATTATATGTATCATCATAAACGCTATTAATTTGTTCTTTTAATTCTATGTTGTCATCTATCTTGAGTTTTTCATTTTTCAGTTTCTAAGAAAATATGTATATATATATATATATATAAATATATATGTGAATTATATTTTCATGTTTATTTTCTTCTAAAAGTACCTTAAAATATTCAAATCGTTCATCCTCATCATCATTACTTTCGTTGACAGGTGCATTATACGAAATTCTATCTAATTCTTTACACTTATTTCTTTTTGCCTGTTTTCTTTTTTCTCCATATTTGTTGTATATATATTCTTGAAAACTTGTCATATCCTATATATAAAATAAAGGAACGAAAAATACATAACATAAATTTTAAAAAAAAAAAAAAAAAAAAAAAATTTTATAATTTTTAAGTAATCTTCTTATAACATCTTTTAGATCAGTAATTTCTTCCTAAAAAAAGAAAAAAATATGATAAAGGATATTATAATATGGATAAATAATATAAATCAACTAATTTATATAACTTTTTTTTAATTAATTACATAATCTTTTTCAAGGTTGCTATTATCATTTTTATTTTTTCTAAGTTGTAAATCATCTAAATTCTTCAAAAAATAAATAAAAGGAAAATATTTAAATGACAAATTATATATATAAAAAATATTTGATTTTTTTTTTTTTTTTTTTCATACCTTTTTTATATTAAAAGGATTAAAAAAACCTATTTTTCTTATTTTCAAAGTTTCATTTTCAATATTTTTCCATAGACTGTCTATATTTATTTCTTCTTTTTTATAAACATGTATACCTTTATACAACTTCATTAAAAATTAAAAATATATATATATATATATATATATATATATATATATATATATATATATATATATATATATATATATATATATATATAAATGCATTATTATTTAATACTTATCATATAATTACATTTTCATTTATTGGAAAAATATAATTATTTGGTATATGTTCAATATAATTAATGAAAGTGTAGCCTCCTATCACTTCCGGAATTTTAAAAAGAACATTTTCTGACTATATAAAAAAAAAAAATGAAAAATACATAAATTAATTTATGACAACAAAAAACTAATATATAAATAAATAAAATTACTTTTATAATATCTTCATTTATATTTTGATCATCTAAATTAATACAAACTTTTTTTTCTAATAACCTAGAAAAAAGAAAGAAAGAAATTATTTTATATATATATATATATAAAGAAAATGCATTATTTTTGTTTATGTATACTTTTATTAATAATTAAAAATCTTATTTTACTATTATGACATACTTTGTGTATTTATTATATATTTTATTATAATTTAAAATTTCATTAGATTCATAATCTTCCTCTTTTTTTAACACATATTGAAAACGAAGCAATGGATAATTTTCACAATTATTTTTTATTTCTATCATACTGTTATCATCATTATTACTTAAATTGTAATTGTTTTCATTACAAATGATATCATTATTATTATTATTATCATCATATGTTTTATAATGATTTATATTATTTTCATCAAAATCTAAAAATGTCAATGAACCATAAATATTTAAGTGAAAAATATATATAATACTTCTATGAATCAATAAAAAATAAAAATAATATTACCATCATCCTTTTCCTCCACCCACATAAACTTTTCTTCATCTTCTAATACATTTGATTTTTTCTATAAGAAAAAAAAAAAAAAAGAAATATATTATTATTATTTAGAAAAAAAAAAAAAAAAAATGTATCATTCTAATATGATAGAATATTCTTTGAATATATATCTTTTTCTATTTTAATATATTACTCTAAACTTTTGTATTTTTTCAAAAATGTTTTTTTGTTTTCTTTTCATTTTAGCCTTAATTGTTGGTATGATTGAATTAGAATATTCCTTCGGTATATTTAAAACTTTTTCTTGTAATAATTGATTTTTTACCAAAAACATATTCCTTCTTTTCTCTTTTAAATATTTTAATATAGAATTTCTATTCCCCTCTTCTACCTGAATAAAATTAAAAATAAAAAAGAAAAAAAAAAAAAAAAAAAAAAAAAAAGAATATGTAATTATGTGATATATTTGCTTCTATAATTTATATAGGGCAAGAATAAATATATATATATATATAAATTTAATTTTATGTATTAATTTATTTGATATTAATATTATTTTTTTTTTTTATTATTTTCATTACATTATTGTAATTAAAATGTTTATATTTTAATAAATAGTTATAAATATAAAAGAGAACAAAATGAAAATAGTTGACTTTTTCAACAATATGTTTTAATTCTTTTCTGTCAGTTTCATTTCTCTTTATATATATTTTACAAATCTAAAAAAATGAATGATTAAGTGTGTAAATAAAATATAAATCTAATAAGTACTTAAATATTTTTCAGAATAATATGTTTTTTTGTAATTCTCTTTTTATATTATATATATATTTACATTATAAAAACCTATCATTAATCTTGTGAAATCAGAAAAGTCAGGTTCACCAGAAAATTTCTAACAAAAAAAAGTAATAATACTTTAAATAGTAGTATATATAATTATTAAAATATATATTTTTTTTTTTTTTTTTTTTTTTTTTTTTTTTTTTTTTTTTTTTTAAAAAAATTTTT